AGACTAACGTGTGTGTGTGAGAGAGAGAACCTGAGATGCTGAAGTCGGGAACAGCGAGGAGAGAGACAGGAAGAAGTCTTAATCGAGCACGCGTGCTTCCGCGGAAACCGCGTGTGGCGAATTTTCGCTTGTGTCCTGAAAACTCCAGCTTGCTCACTCTTCTGTCCCCCCTGCCTGTCCCCCCCCCCCATCCCCTTCGCCGGACTAAACCCCCGTCCAGCCCTGCTGGACCGAGTGCCTCAGCTCGGACAAGCAGCTGAAAAAGCGCCAGAGAGCTTGCCACACCATGCCGGAATCCCCCCTCAGGGGACCGTAAGCTGGAAGTGGCAGCATGTGTCAACAAGAACTGTACAGCATGTAGGGACTGGCGACCGCAGTCCACGGCCTCCGCGTCTGAAAGGAACTGAAGGACGGGGGTATATTGGGGGGGGCGAATTTTGTTAGGGCTCGCCGCTCTCTATGTTCGTGGGGATCGATTCGTATATGCGCCGCCACGAGCGGCCCCGGCGTTTGTATCATTTATTCTTCGGGGGTAGTTCGTGCTGCTTTATCAAAGAGAAAAAACAAGACCGTGAAAGTTTTGTGGTGGCGTTCTAGACCGCGGTTGGCTGTGGTCTACGAAGGGAGCTACGCTAGTGTAGGGAATAGTGGCCGTACGCGAAGTGCGTTAGTATCGGCACGATGTAAGTAACAAGGAGATGGGTGAGGCAGGCCGATGAAAAAGGAGAGAAGGGTGGACGAGGGAGTGTATCCCAAGTTCAACAGTGTGCAGGCGTCAGCAAGCAGCCAGAGCGTCGGAAGCGTGAGTGACTGTCGACAACGCTATGTAGACACCCGCCCTGGTGCGCACATGGGTGGGGGTTGGGGGGTGGAGGGGGGTGGAGGGGGGGGGCGCTGCATGTGCTAGCACGGCGTTCGAAACGGCTAGAATTTTGAAATTTCGAAGGCGGTGGCCCGGCGTCCCTGCTTTCTAACGTGGGTACCTCGACAGAGCCCCCCCCCCCCCCCCTTAAGGACACTGGTTTGAAAGGACCTGCGCCGGGGAAGGCC